AAAGAAGTAACAATAGCGATTCTCTGAAAGAAGTTTGGAAAGAACAAGTATCGCAAATTGTTTTAACATGTAAAAAAAAATTATTTTATAAGTCTATAAAACATTTATAAGTCTTGCTTGCAACATTATGATATACTGTTCGCGAGCAGATAATGCGCAAATGCATCAGAGACAGAACAAACAATCGTGCACGAACGTGCAGATTAAAGCGCATATCTTTTTTGAACGTTATCGAGATCGTCAATTTACTGCACACGCGAAAAAGCTCTATTTACAATCCTTACATTTATAATTTTATCAAGTGTGCGTTATATTATAAAATAGATGCGTAATAAACGTATTACAAAATTAACGCTCACGATTATGAAAATAATATATGGCAAAGCATAGGATGGTGGGTCGTTATCGTAGTCGCATGCCTTGTTGTCGTTCGATATTAACCAATCGTAATCCACATTAGAATGGACGTAAGGATCGCGATATTGTGAAACAGTGCGAACAGACGGTTGCAGAAATTGCAGTGGCAAACAGGTTGCAGACAGAAAGAGATTAGAAAGTGCAAGAGAAAAAAAACACACAGAAAATTAAACTTGCTGTTACAGCAGCAAATATTACGAGTAATGAGAAGAAAACAAACTCAACGAGCGTGCAAAGAGCAAGGACGGAGGAAACTAACAATAAGAGCACAAAATTAAATTAACAAGTGAGTGAGTAAGGTTAAAAAAAACAAGTGAGTTTAAGATTAAAAAGAAGCAAACCAGTACAGCAATTTTATATATCAGAAAAATAAATATGTAAAATCAGTACGATAAGAGATGACTTGTATTGACAATAAGTCAACAAAAGAAGAAAACTAGAATTATTAGAAATCGCCAAGCATATAGAAACGCTAGAGAAATATAAGAAGAAACGCGACAAGCAGACGGTGAAAAGGATAAAGTTAATAAAAGCACACCGTTAGAGCGCAAAGTGGCATGTAAGAGAGTAGAAGCGAATACGATACGAGGGGCAGAGATGAGAGGAAGAGTAATAGTTGTGAGTGAGAGAAGTATGATTGAAGGGAAAATGAGCAGACGATCGACAGATGACGCAGAGAATTTCTGCGGTGATGCTTTACGGTGCAACCGTCCCGTTCATCTAACGGGTGGTCGTACGTGTTCCGCAACGTGAATAGAGACGTGAAAATCTTGGCGAGATACAACAGAATCACCCCTGCTTGCAGAGATGTAATAAAAGAAAACAAATGCGGTGTGAATTAATGCCATTGCTGTCGTCACCGTAGCTTGTCTTATACGTGATTGCATCTCGACACTAGTCAGACAAGTTGTTTGAAGGAAACTTGATCTTGCCGATCTTCAGTAAATAATATACAGGTATTAACATGATATACTAGAATGTTGTTTTCTAACAGGAACAGGAATACTCAAATAAGAAAAGTCTAATATTTTTTATAGTAAATGTTACGTGCGTGTTGAAAGCACTAAATATGGTATGAAAACAAAAGAGCATTTTACAAAAAAATTATATTTTATAAAACTGATATTTCTACTTATAATGTCGCAATATATAAAGAAAGATTATCATGTATATAATGACAATCTCTTGCATTATAATCATAGAAAAATGAGAAAAGTTAGGTTAGTTGAATTTAAATTAGTTATTTTAATGAAAAATATTCTTTTAAAAATAAAATCTTGTATTATCTTAATATTAAAGCCTATCCATGCCTAAATAAGTCCATCATACCTGAATAAGCATGAAAATTGCAAGCAAAGAAAATAGAAGGAAACAAGAAAGACGATGCTCTTTTCAATCATTTCTATCCTTAAAATTTCCATTTCCGCATCAAGACTACGCAGCTTCCTGATTCGATATATGTAGAAGATTCGATCGTAGAACGCGCAAGCAAGTTCAAGGGCCGCGAACGAGATCTTACCGTGAAAAACGCTTTCTCCTGTGTAATGCTTCTGCTCACGTACCGGGTGTCAGCAGAATTTTAATCCGGCACGATTCACGGTTGAATTGTTACAAACTCATACATAAAAGCATCATTTTAATTGCAGATTTCAATACTGCCCCTACTCTCTACGGGAATAATTAGCATGTGATAATAAGGACCAAGAGTAGTAATTTTGTTAATAATTCTGCAATTCGCATATTGCACTCGAGACATCATTCTCACGATGCGTTATATATCCGTGCCCGCGAAAACTAACGTTTCGGTGAATGAAGCGTCGAAAAAGTGCCGTTAATGACCGAGTCATTAACGCCAGGAGTGCAGCGCGCGAATCACAATCTAACTCGAAACGGTGTTATAAATACGGCTTTAATGCCGAATAATAACGATATAAGCAAGATCGACTATCACTGATAATTTACTCATTGTCAGACATCCGTATAACGGACGTTAATTACTCTTTATGTAATCACGCTCGTGATGCGCACGATGCTCTAATACCGCTGTTACGATTAAGCGCGAGTAACGCAGCGTTAATTGCTCCGCTCATTGTACTCGCCCACGTCATTACTTTCCTCATCATGATTATCATTGCCATAATTAACAGTCACGTGGCGGCTCCAATCTCACCGCGGAGTCTTTTGTAACGGCCCACGTCGCGACGCAGCGCGTCGTTATATCGCTCGTTTAAACCGAAAAAATATTCAGCCGGATAGATCTGATAACTGCGCTTTCCAATGTACCGAGAATAAATTTCGCCTACGCTAATAGTCCTCAATTCATGCAATCTTTCCTTACAAATCGGAATGCGTTGGCTAACGAGCTAAATTTATTATTCCTATTGATAGACTGAACTCAACCTCCGCAAGCTAAAGATGAATATCATTTACGAATAAATAAATATTCTGTAATTATCAGATAAGGTCTTTCTTATATTTCCACAATAGTATGACGTATGATTCTATTGTACAATTACAAAGAAGTAAACGGAAAAGAGCTATAAGAACCGAGCGCCGATGTCGGGGCGCAAAATAACGACGTTTACACATGATCACAATTACCAATTACATCCCCTAAAGCTAAAGAAGGTCCCAAAATTGGTCTAAAACCTTTTTTAGTCTTATATTCCAGTTTTATATTTTATTTATGTATGCGTGTCATGATAAGAGTACATGCATTAAGCATAAGCATGTGCAAGACACGAAACAAAGAAGAGCTGTTTTTGTTCCATCTCGTTACGTTAATTTTTCACCGAGTTACGTTTTTTAAAAATTCATTCAACGTGTGTGCGTAGCGCGGTACCGCATTGCCTATTACATAACTATTACGGTACTACGATCAGCTGACCGCCAAAAGTAGAGCAGTGTGTCACCATAGATTATTGACCTATATCGATAACGTCGTCTGCCGTTTAAATTCGGGAACACTCGCAGACGACAACAATCTATATTATCAGGAAAAGCATTCTTGTATCAGAAAGTCGCAAGCCTGTGAGAGCGATAAGGAGTAGCAAGAAACAAACAAACTTCATTTAAGAGCCAAGACCACTTCCGAGTTATTAATCTCAGATGAGTTATTTGCAAAATATTATACTTAATTATAAGAATAGAATTAATCCTTGCAATTGCACAAAAATGCGAAACAATTGCTACCGAATTTAAAAGTTAGAATGACATGTATTTGTTTGTCGCGAATAATTTAGCATGAGACACAACACAGTCTCGCAGCCGCAATGAATGTTTTCCAGGCATCGTATATATGTGTCCTGCGGCTGCAGCATGCGTCTCTCTTTGACCAATGTATACATATTAACATACAAAGGGCTAAAAGTTTAATTGCATTGACCTAGCGCTCCAACATACACGGCAGTTTTTCAGAAATTTTTTTTACGAAAGCTTTAATGTAAAATACTTAATTTTCTCGTTTTAACTATCCCATTGTGTGCATTGTTCGACTTAGTATAAAAAATACAACACATTTTACGACATACGTTATAAAACTAAAAAAAATCAAGTAGGTTTGCCATTGAGGATTTCAAGAAAGCTTTTTGAACAACTTTTTCGTTGATTCTTTTATGTGCAGCTTCTTTCATATTCCAAATTTTTATGCTTAAAAGTGTCAATTAATGCTCGATTAAGTAAACACAATGTGTGCGAAATTATTCAGGATTTAACGCCGCAGAGGCAAACCGTGGCGAGAAGTTTCGAACGCGTAACACAAATCTCGGTAGATCAATAAAGCTGATATATTGAAATTTGCTTGTCGCTTGGTTGATCACCGGAGAGAAAGTGGCTGCGATGATGGAACATGGTTTTCGTCGCGCGAAAATAGCACATCGGTCGATTCACGTAGACGGGCGCGTAGGATATTTATGGTAGCCGCCATCCGCGAAGATTATCCGACCGACTGATGCGGAAATAACGACCGAATACGAAAGTTCGCGTTTTACGAACGGACCATTACGTCTCAGCTCGCCATACTCGCCTCGGTCGTAACGAGCGAGTGCGTTTACCCGCCTGGCTGCGCGTGCGATTCCGCAAGCTGGACCTCGCATCTGCGAGTGGCACACAATACCCTCCGCTCGTTTTCACTGTGCGAACGCATCACGCGCGGCTAAACGAGGCTTCGCACTTAATTAGCAAGTGGTTTCGCGAATTCTCAAGATGAACTTGCGCGATACGCGTTTATTTCGCAATTAGTGTTATATTTAGTACCCCATTTGTAATACACAATCTAATACAAATCTTAAGAAAATCTAAAGAAAATTAGCCAAAGGAGAAAAAATATCTCATTAGACGAAAGAATTACTAATTTTATAATTGTAAGGCTTAATTTTTGTTTAAAAATTTAAACCGCTCATAATTTCACGTAGAGAGTAAGAAATAAAATAGTGTAAATCAAATCAAAACCATAGATATATATATATATGTTCAACTGTTTGCCTTCGAAATAATAAAATGGGAAAACAGTTGAATCGACGAGGAAAATGTACGAGTATCCGTAATATGTCGGATTCGCAAACATGTGAAATCTGTTTACTGACCTGACTGCACGGCGGTTTTCTCACTGAAGACGTCGAATCGCAAGGCAATAAATCTTCCTTGACGAGTGATCCTCCTTTCGCTCGCGTTTAACGGCGACGTATCTGCCGGCTGTTTTGTTTCTTTCGAGGAAGAGATCTCTCCTTCAGGGACGCGATTGCTCCTTTCCGTTTACCAACAGAATGCCGAGAGAACGGATGCACGTATCACTCTTGCGTGTCGCTTCGGTATTTCCTTCCGCTCGATATTTCATCCGCCTTTATGTCGCCGTCCTTTTGACTCATCGATCGTCGAGCGTGACGGAGGGAGAGTATCCTGTGAGATACACCGCACAAAGATCGGAAAGAGAAGCAGAAACTAAAGACGACGGAGTCGCGCACAAACGTCGCTCCGCGACGAACCTAATCGGCAGGATACCGTTTTAACGAACCTCCGAGCGCTTAATAAGAGCGCGAGCACGTAATCAACAATAGCTTGTCAGTCGTTGCGCGCGACGTTATCGTTGTTCAATAGATAATAAAAGTGCTCTTCGAAAGAGGAGCTTATGTGCTCTATTTCACCGTTACCGCGATACACGTATATTGCGTTACGCGCTAATCTTTTAATTACTTTAGCACAAGCGCTTCCAACTGACGAAGAATTGCAAATAATTCTCTATCTTTATATGATTAATCACTAAAATATCGGAATGAGCAAGAAACGCGAGCAACTGAATGCCGATCTTACGTAAGAATTCTCAAAGAAATCCAAAATAGGAGAAGTCTCTCTTCGACAACTTGTTTATCTCCTTCACATTTGCACATAAAATTCACGTTTTTTACTGACGCAATCTATTATCGCGTATCGCTCGGCTCGTGTGCACTCGTCCGAAAAAAGTATCGCACCACACACGTTCGTACCGATCCTTTTTCCAAAAAATCAATGCACTTATTATTTCGATCGCTTCTTCCGTTGCGTACTCTATTAGGTTAGGTTAGGTTAGGTTAAGGATCCAAACACACTTCGCGATCGACGGAACACTCAGACTGGATTCGCAAGCACTCGATAAATCATCAATAGGGACGACAGCGCGGCGGCAGGCGTCGTTATCGTACTCGATGCGGAACGTTATCGTCACCACGATGAAAATAGCGCGACGCGACGCACCGTATCCGAGTGTGCCCGAAGCCTTGTTGTCGCGGTAAATGGCGCGGAAATTCAGGTTGCCGCGCGTACGTGCATCGACCTGAAGCCCGGCGTAATACGAACAGGGATTTACCTTCCTCGTCCCTGACCCGCTCAACCAACGACCTCGGCGATGAATCACGCTGGAAGCTGAGGGGCCGACAATCGACGAAAGTTCACACGCGGGGGAGCGCCGTGATCCTCTCTCCCGCTTCGCGACGCACAAGGAGATTATTGTTTTCTTGAAACGATTACGAAGGTGCGTGTTAATGCACCGACGGGTCTCGAAGATAAAATTTCACTATAGAAAATGTACGTCTCGTTATTCTCTTCAAAGGCTTTTCGATGACTGTGAAAATCTTCAGTGACAGGATATCGACAACAGAATGGACGCTAAATTCATTTCACGTCTGATCACGTTGAAAAAGATACCGGATACTGGTATCGACACTGCGGCTATTTTCACTCTGTCGATTCATTCACTGAGATTAAAGCGAGCGGAGAGTCCACGCTCTATTTGCGCCAGGATACTTTTGAAATCTTCACCGAGGTCCAATTACGATACGTCATATCGCTCATAAAAGCTTTAATAATAAAATTAATAAAAGCTTTAATAACCTTCGATAAAATTTGTGCTATTTACATGAAGAGGAATCGATCGACTAATCGAAGAATAAATCGATCGACTAATCGAGCGTTTATGCAAACGAAGGAAGTTCGCGGGAAGAATTGGAAATTACCTCTTCCGCTTCCCTTCGGCAACCACGAGATTCTCGCTTTGTTCAAATGCTCGTTATTCAAATGCTACACGCGGTAATTAAAGTAGATTTAAAAGCTGAATCGTTTGAGAAAGTTCTCTCCAGACAATCTCGGAAATCGTCAGTAATAGAAGATTGTTACAAATATAGCTATTAAAAAACAAATTGTTTTTTCCTGTAAATGATTTTTTCCAAATCGTTTTCGAAATACTCCTAGAATCTGCCTCGAGACTTTTTTCTAAACGTTCTTGAAACTCTTCGATAACAGATCGTCTTGAACAACGAAGAAAATCATGCCTGGATAATGTCGGAGATCTTCAATGATAGAAGATTGCCGAGGACGTTGCAATGAATACCATACGCCAGACTCGGGTAAGAACGAACTACTTCGTCCTGTCGAATCATTCACGGAGATTAAGGCGAGATTATATTCTACCGCGGGATCTCCGATGAGATTCGATTATAGTACACTCCACGTCACTCAGAAACATTTAATAATCCTCCGTACAAAGCGCACTTCCACGCGAAAAACGATAAGCAAAAGCATATGCCTAATGCATGTACTTGCACCTTTCGTAAGATATCGCTAATCTCAAATAGGATCGCGTCCAAGACATTCGTTGAATCAGTACTTTTTGCACGAGTCTCTGATAGCCGAATGCACAGGCGCAATAAAACTAAACGGATCCGCCGCGAATATTTCAAATGACAACTGATCGCAAAACGCGCGCGCAAATTCTGTATAATTTACATCGATCAATGTACTATTATCAATAATGCACTCGAATTAATCGCGCACATTTGGACCACTCACATCATGCAGCATCCAGTTATCCCACAGATAATATCCATCAGCGGCGAATCCTTTCACGAAGTGGAATTATCAGTCGCGATAATAATAATTAACGATCTAATCATCGATCGTTGATCCTTCGCGCGTGATGTTCGGCAACGCGCATGTTCGCGAATGCCGAGAGATAATCGCGAATTCACGGAAACATCCCCGGCTGAGCGTCGATCGCGGCTCCGGCAAACCGCGGAAACCGGAAACCGGAAGTGATTAGCGTCGCAATTCCGGAGCCGATCGCGAGGTGCGATCGGGATACCGCCAAGGAAGCAGCAGATTCTCGACGCGCGCAGAGAACGATAAACCGAGCGCACACACGGCGCAGGTAAGAGCGGTTTTCGAACAACTACGTGCCGGTCGGAAGGCGGCGTTTCTTTCTCCCCTGCATCGTGCATCGGCTCGCCGCAGAGAGAGGGAAATGGCGAAACGATGGTAGGAGGTAGAGTGCTGCTGCGAAATTTATGGAGGAAGGGATATGAGCGAGGATCTATGATATCCCCATGGATCGCTAGATCGGCGGTCCTTATCGCCTCGATGTATCCGCTCGAGAAAAGCGCTCGAGAAAAGCTATCCGCTCGGTAAAGGCACCCTCGGCCGCCTTCATCTATCTTTCCTCGACGTACGTTACCGTGAAACATTGACGTTTTATTTTTATTGTAAATTTTTGTCATCTTACTTACGCTTTGAGAATTTCACAATAATTGTTGTTTCCGTTTCGCTAGACAGTTCATTTGTTTACTGGATATGAAATACAAAATGTATCATAAGAGAACAAAAGTTACGAGATATTGTGGTAACACTTATCCTGAAATTATATCAATTATGAATAATATGATATAAAATTTTAGATTAAATATAATTAAAAGTTTTTAATGAGATGTAAATCAAGACATAATCGTTAAATCTTTTTGAATTCAATTTAGATTTATTAAACTGATAATAAAACTGCAAATAATCCTCGAGCACAATTTCTAGTCAAAATTTTTAGTCTTGAATAAAATAAACGTCTCAGAATTAGGCCGAAATACGTCTCGCAAGGGAAACGTTACAGACAGTGTGCACCAAAGTCGCAATTTTACGCGTAACTGAATCGACTAACCCTTGACTGTCAGTTGGTTCCTGTCTAAAGCAACAGGTGCTCGTCAACCGCTACCATGTGGTAGCCGCACGAATGTAAGGTGGTATGCACTCCTTGCCATTCAAGTCACGACATTTTTCTGACCGTAAAAAGAACCGCATTTTTTGATACTTAAAATTTCCCTCCGAATGGAAAAATATTTCGTGCGCATCTTGTGTCGAGAGACGGTAAATAAATTCGTCATTGATTCTTTACCAATCCTTTAATTGTTCATATATTGTTTGCAGGGAGGGATTTACAGGTGTACATTAATGGGACTATAACACCTATGCGAGTGATCCTTCGCGAGTACAGCTGAGCCGCGTAATTCTACAAATGGTAATCTTAAATATGCATCCAATGTAATACTTTACCACTTATATAAATAATCGGTAGACTCTTCGCATCTACGCGCACGGTAGACAGATATACAAAACATCGTATCGTACAAAATAGTAGCAGTAATATCACCTATCAACTTCGTTCCAACAGATGATCCGCTACGCACGGTATTAATTATAATTAACGTTCATCAAAGCACTCGCGCTTTCTTCAAATGCACGAGTATATATATTCTAAGGACAAACATATTCGCACGGCTAGAGTGATATAATAAACTTTATGGTCCTTTGTGTTCTGAAAAGCGCCTGGCTCTTCGATTTTCAACGAATGTATTGAAAATGAATTGAAAAATTCGATGCACTTATCGTTATCAATAAAATACCGTACATAGCGGTTTATTAATCAAAACAAATCTCGAAACTTAAAGATACTTGGTTCTATGTATGTACAAAATCGTAATACAGGGTGTGAAGCGACACGATCGCATCTTTCGAAAGATATTAGAAATAAAAAAAAATCAGCGTAGGGAGAAATATTTTAGTTTTACGTTAATTTTAAAATTTCAGAAAAGCATAAAAAGACACTCAAGAAATATCCGAGAGATCTTGAAGAAGACACTAACGTGTCTTTTTAGAGACGTACTAATCTTTTCTTTACGGCATCTTTTAGATGCATATGTGTGCCGGTATGTACGCCTTTCTGTGCCGGCGCGGAAATAGCTCATTTTTCTTAAACATAGACATTTTTGTTCGCAATGCTTTTCTGTTTCTCATACTTTTCAAAACGTGCGACAGAGTCATTTCACGCGAGGAAACCTGTATACATGTATTTACCTTGAAGAATTTTGTCAAAGTATTAGTTAGTTTTTGTACTGTTGTAAATCGTTAATACGCAAATGGGAGAGATGGATCTCGTTGTGTAATGGGATCAATGAACGAACGAAAACTGAAAAGGCGGGAGACATTGTACTATGATCCAAGTTTTATTAAACAAATTAAATACAAAAGATTTTCTGTTGCCTGCTGTCTGCGTTATAGTCGAATATCTCGGGATTATAAATAATTAAAACAACAGAACAAGGTATGATATAAATAAAAAAAGAAAGAGACGAAGGAGATACGACTCGTCTTAATCTCCGTTTTCAGAAAACATTCTCGCGTGCTGCATTGTACTGTTTTTTTTTTCTTTTTTACAAATCGAATTTTTCTAAAAAAAAAGAACAAGAGTTAACCAATGCGTCCAGGCTCTGTTAGTTTGAGACTAATGTACATCGTTACCTAAGTTATTATAACTTTACCGGAATACGTAAAATTTGATTTTCCACCGAGAATCCCAGAACAATTATTTCACATACGTAAAAATTTCCAAATCGTACATTTTATTGCACAGATGTGGCATAAAAATTTATCGTAATAGCGGTTTCTTGCATTTAAAAGTTCTTGAAGTATGCCAATATACCAGTTGAAATAAATAATAAAATAACAAAACTAACACATATCCAGAATTCTCGATAAAAACTCGCTCAAAAGTTATAAATGCACATGGAATGACGTAGAGCCTGACACGCTTAAAAGATATATGACAAAAGAAAAAAACATGTCAAGATAAAAATAACTTGTCAGAACCGAGAGAAAGAAAAGAAAATAGTTTGGTTTTGATGCTGCATTACGAAGAATCTTAATTATCAGTAGATACGCTTAAAAATTTCTTCGAGAACGTTAGATATTAATATTTAAAAGTCGTTAGGATATGTACAAAGAGAGATATAATATATGAATATGAAGTAAATATATTGATTTCCCGTCCCAAAGGACCGAGCTGGATCACTTTCCCGCCCGATCCTTCGGGACCACTGGACACTACGTCGAAGAGTAACACAGTCTTCATGGATTTCGAGATTGGTCTTTTAATAAAAAGAAGACGATTAACAAAAAAAAATGTAATACCTAAACGGCAGTCTATTAATTGAGAGCTCTTACTTCCTCCTTTTTTTCTTTTTAATAAGAGATGGAAGGCATATCGAGGGATGAAAGCACACGGCAAGACGAAGTTTGGAATGTAATTAATAATAGAGATCCGAGTATCCAGAAAAGTACTGTGTTGACCCTCGATACTCTCTCTTTCTCTCTCTCTCTCTCTCTTTTCCCATTGTTTTCTCATACATAACATTCATACACTTTCACACTCTCCTTTATTTTCTTTCGCGCGCGCTCTTTCGTTTTCCGCATACTTGGCAATCGCAAAAACGGTGCCCGGGTAATTAGGCCCTCTTTGCTAACGCATCGATACATATCGTGCACGCGAATTACAGTTTTCTTTATAATACTTGTAAAAGGACTCAAGTCACATTTAAATGGACAAGAGCATATATCTGCGCGTGTATGTACGTGTGCGCGCGTATACGCACACACACACACACACACATTTACGTCTGTGTATATAATATACATGGGTAAACTTACGATAATAAAGCCGACCGCTTTTCCCTCGTACAGACAGACATGTAAAGTAGCGAGAAACGTTATGCTTTTTTCCTTCCTTTTGTCCTTGCCTTCGAATTCTACGAGATACGATCTGAAAACATTTCTTTTGAACATTGTGGACTACGCAAGTAAACTAAAATTAAAATTACCGATATCGATAAAATAATCGTGAAGCCTGATAAGATTGAAGATAAGAGATAAAGATTGAAAGATGCGAAATAATAACTTACTTGCGAGTTAAAATTAAAATTTATATGTTCTTCGTAAAAGAAAAAAAAAAAAAACAGATGGAGCGAAATGTAGTTTCGTGACGCGCGCTTAAAAAAAGATTCCGCTGCTGTAAAAAACAGTTGTCTCGATGGTAACCAATTTTTCGAGAAATTTTCCTCCTTTTGTACTTAATCACGTCAACATTAAAAACTATTAACTTCCCTCGTAAAATTAAAATTGTCTCTATACTAGAAATTGACAATAAAAATCTTCTAAAAGCAAGGCATTTAAAATGGAACAAACTGTTTCGAATAAAGACGAAAACGAATGAAATCTAGAACAATTGCAAATGTCTCCATTTTCTCAATGATAAAGAAGTGAATCGTTTTAGTTCCTTAAACTTGTAAACGTCGAAACGTCATTAATTTAGACATGACAGTCAACTGTACGATCCTAAACATTTCACATGGAATCTTTGTCTCATCTTTCGTAGTTTCTGCTTCCTCTCCTCGCTAAATATTATTAACACTATGCTATTTACACCAACTTATATGCTATTACAGGACACTAAGGATTAACCTACCAAGTATATATTACAGGACACGCCATCATTCGTACTTTCTCTGGCGACACGCAGTATATATATATAACATCTTTGGACTCGATTTTATTACACATTTATATAGAATATTACGATCGCTTTCTCTCTGTCGTCTAATTCGCTTCTCTCGTCATCTCGTGAGAGCCCACGAGCGCCTCTACTCGAGAAGTGTTCCTTCAGTCTAATAAAAGAAAAGTACTCTCCTATATCGCCTTCTCTTGCCTACCGGCGTTCGCCAGTTATATTTGTCGTTCTTCAGTGCCGATAGACGGTACGTTGTACAAATACTCTGACGCTTGAGATTCTCGATGGTTCCTTCACGGTTTTGTCACGGGAACCCTTGGAAGACAACCGCTCTGTTTAAATAAGAATAAACGCCTTTCCTTACAGTAAAGTGTGAGTAGGTCTCGATCGCGTGAAAAATTGGCCCGCGGCTCAAAGGACGAACGAAGTGTCGTATTAAATCGGTTATTGAATACACGATCAAAATCAGGGGATGCTACTCGTTACGAATGTAAAACGATATTCGCCATTGCGGGAAGATTCGATCGTGACTCGCCGTTCTTCCCCCGCCGTTCTCTTTTTTCGTAATGGTTCGCACGTGGCATCGCTTTGTGGAAACGATTTCTCTTTTGACCGTGTCAAAGAAATGGTATGACGAAATTAACTAAACGGAATAACCGAAACTCGGCGAAACTCATGGACCACTTAAACCGCCGACACTTGGGCGTCTTCGTCATCTGCAACATTTCAAAATGCGTTTTAGTAAGTGACACGCCGCAGTGCCACGTATGGTGATCGAAGTACGAGGGACTCTAATTCGGACAAAAATGATCTAATGCGTGCAGTCCTGTTCGATTTAATAATATTAATTTAAATAGGTAAAAACGTATGATGAGATTATCTCAGTATTACAGCGAAGAATTACACCGAAGGATGTATCGCTGCTAAAAATTAAAAGCTATAATTGCATGCTAAATGATAATGCATTTCGTATATAGTTTTTGTACTTGTTCTCTATATTTTTAAACCTTAGAGTCTCTCGCTAATGCGATGCTTATAAATAAAACCCGTGTCATTTCTTTTCTCGAGCTTTAAATCTATGTTCAAACGAGCTGGTACGAGAAAAATCAACAATCGACACAAACAATCAATGCAAAGAAAGATGAATGAGGGATAACACGTGCGACATGGATGCAAGCAGCGAATCATGCCTCACAAAAAAAGGTAAATGGTGGGAACAAACCGCAATAATTTAGTATAACGTTTCAATGCAAAATTCAATGATGACAAAGCTAGTGTATTATGCAGTGATTGCTAACATAACATCGTTTTGATGCATTATTCAACAGTTATGATTATTATGAAATTATGTGGCTATGCTGAATGAGTGCGCTACATGGCGATCACATTGATTAAACACAAGCTTTTAACACGTTGTACAGGCACTTCGTTCATTTACAAGTAAATAGCATTTATTTACAAATTAATAAGAACCACACGTGATATCGGCCGATCGACAACTATGGTAATATTGTCACTATGTTCATGATTGTGTGTTCACAATAGTGTTGAAGAATTGGATTTTAACTACGCCATATATTATATCTTTTAGAGATCATGTCGAGAGAAAGAACTTTCAAAATTGTTGTATCCATTTAAATGGTACACACAAAAGTTAGAAATGCACAGCGTCAAAATAGCCGCTTTCGACAGCGCGCACGCGTTAAAAAATGTTAAAAAAGAAGCGTTGCAAATCAATGGTGGAAACGTATCTGCGAAAATTACTCTTCTAACGTAGCGTAAGCTGACGTTTGCTGGCTCAAATCAATACTCTTCGCCGTGCGTAAACGTTAAAAACGGGAGCGTATGAAGACTCAGCGAATGTAAACCGAATAGATGTGTATATAAACGTGAATGTAAACTATGTGTGAACGATAGAGTGATTTGGTTAGATGTAGTACCATCTTCGTGATCGGTGCCCCGATAAGTAACCCCCTCGTGGCTGTTAGCACGACCGAGTCTGTGCAATCTCGCCATCTGTTGCGCGACTTTGTACGCCGGTGGTTGACGGCACTGCGGCGTGTTACTCATGCCGGGCCGCATCGTTGCGATCGACGACGTCATGTTGCCCGCTATGGTGCCCATCGACGTCATTATGGTCGTAGTGCCCGCTCCAGGCGGTGGCAGCGAGGCTGACATCCCTAGGCCCATGTTTACTCCTAATCCCGTAGTACCTGAAAACCCTTGACTTGCTCGATCTCTCTCTCTTTCTCTCCTTTTCGCGCCACCTCCTTCCGCCTCCTCAACATCCTTCATCTCTCGCCGACAAAGCAATTATTCGCTACCATCGCGGATGCAGTGCTTGTAAACGAGCGCTCGGGAGAACATCGCGCGCATTAACATTTCGCTCATTTATGTCCGCTACATACAATCTTAATTAAGCAGACATTAAAAATCTATAAGCATCTTACGCGAGAGATATTTGGAAAGAAATTCATAAAAAAGAATAAATTAAAATAAAAATTTATCCACAACATTTAATGATCCACGCGGTCGTATATTTTATCTCCCAAATATATTCTGTTAAAACTTTGCGCTTTTACCTTTTCTATCTGCCATAAAAGAAATCGCAGCGTTTAATAATTATTAAAGGAAAAAAAAATGTTGCGCTCGCTTACAACCGAGATCCGCGAGAAGGAAACGAGTTTAAAGGAAACCGCAAGACATTCTCCGCTACTCGCCACACAACCTGCCCCACAGGAAAGAAGCACAGATATACCGTTTCGTGTAGTTAGTACCCTGAAAAGAGTGTTCAATTATCTCCGCTAATTCCAGAGGACGCGCAAATACAACGCAAATGGAGCAAATTCGATACAGCACTTAACATTTCTAGGCCGTACGCTAGAAAATGGATGATGGCATTCGTCACCAGCGTGCACATCGACAGACTCGTTCGCTTAATTAATAGTTATACGGGCGGGCAACGTCACGCACCAGAGAGACCAAAGAACATCGCTTTTGCTCAAAGAAGGCGACATCCGCGTCAAGACCATACAAAGCACAAGCTATATAAAGATACCGGAGATCGGCAAGGTGATTCTCCATCGGCCAACACGTCGTTTTTCGCATGCATGAGAGAGAGCCATACTGTTCGCATCCTCAAAAGTAACGACATTCTGTTCGGAGTTCGGGATAGACAGTAAGAGAGATCAACGCAATGATTCAATGCAGGCCAGGCAGATGAAAACAGGCAGACAGTCGCGGACTCACCTTGAGGAGTTGGGGGTTGGTGGTGATGATGATGATGATCGTAATAATGTTGGTGGTGGTGATGGTGGTGATGATGATTGTGGTTGTGATTCTGATTGGCAGGAAGCGGAGGTAATACTGCTACCGCCTGAGGGAATGGAGGTGCCCCGCCTCTTATAACAGACCCTGCACCATACAGAGGCCACATACGACATTTCTTTTTTTTCTTTGTACAAAATTTACAGACTTGTGCCGTTACTGGAAACCCGGCGAGGATGAGCCTCGAAAAAAACAAATCGACGTGATTTCGCGCGGCGCAAAGACTCTTCTCGAAAGATTCGACGCACGATCACAAGCGAGTAAAACGCATGAGATACCGCTTGCGTGATTAAGCGAGTGATAGTCGACGTGACAAGCTGTGTCAAGCGAATTTTACAGAAGCGGTAGAACTTTTAAGAAAGCCATTAAAAAGCACAGTTGTTATACTACATATGCGGTGCTCGATAACGCGCGAATAATCGATACAGAAGTGGCACGTGATGTTTAATATTACTTAATTCTTCATATACTCGTAGCATTTATAGCAATTCGATTGATGTTGAGGGATAAGTGGCCATGGGACATACGTTTCTCAACGGTAAAACTTAGCCAACGATCCAAATGACGAATAATTAATACAAAATAATAAAAGAACATATCAACAGAAACACCTAATACTAATTCATCGATAAGTCAATATAAAATCATGTATATTCATTGCAAATAACTCACAAACGCAAACCGTGACTACGTGATGTTCAAGGGTGAATATACTAAACATTGAAACCGCGATAATTTCGGTCAGTTTAATTCTCAATGCTTTAACATCGCACCACGAAATCAAACATGGAAATTATTTTCTTAATGTCTATAGCATCTGAACTCACTGAAATTACAATGATCCCAATTCTTAATTGACACTCCATCAACAATACTAATACTGAACACAACGACTATGTAACACGTAGCTGTCTGGCAACATAAAAAACAGACAGATAATGCAAGAAAACAAAGCTATCGTAAAAACAATAAAACGAACAGCGGATGGATAATATGTATAAGTGACCGTAATCTTACATTCGGAAAGAAACGTAATCTAAAATATCTTTTTATCGTGAAGAGACATCTCGATTTTTCGAAGCAGCCGGTCCGACACGGCGGGCACGAAAAAACACGCGAAAGAAACTTACTACCTCTACTACTCTCTACTACGGTCTACGAATCGGGCAAGAGGAATAGCACACGAGCACACTTCATAATCCGTTCTCTCGTTTCACTCTCGTGTTGTTGATTACGTACCTTGCAGAGCGGAATGCCGTCTTTGCGGTGGCGGTGGGCTGCCGCCCGCTTCCACGCTGCTCCCGCTGTGGCTGTCCAGCTGAGTGCTATGACCACTGTCACTGCTCGTCACCGAACCTACGCACACGTCCCCAAGACACTTCTATCACTACACACGTTCCAGCCGGGAGATTAAGCCCTGATGCGATCTCGCTAAACACGCTAGCATTCATTTTCCCTTATTCGTAATCTCCTTACTCTCTAAACCGGCGCAAGAACCTAACGTTAACTATAACCGTCTCGCCGCACCTCAATTGCATGCCTCTCGCGCAAGTTCCTATCTCTTTTTCCTGCTGTTTAGAAATATATATATATATATGTTTTATCACTAATAAAAGCGCGACTGTACGTCATTTTTAAACTGACAAACCAACGATATTTATCAAATTCTTAAAAATTAAATCGTATTTATTTAATTGAATGTTTCACTTAGATCATAAAAACTGTGTATCATTCTTTTGTTTACGATAATATTGAAAACTTGCAAAATTGTGTGTCGGAATTTTTTATGATTTTCCACCGTGGACACCGGTATCGTTAACATACGACTTCGTATGTCCCATGGTATGACAGCTCCGAATCGAAGCCGCGCTTCATTCTGGGATTAGGAATTCGAGATACTCGTCCGATCGAAAAGTAAAGCTCACGCTACAGTAATCGGCGTACAAGATGCGTGTACGTGTATACGTGTACGTGTATGTATGGATCCAACTAAATAACATGGAACATTTATGAATTGCGTAAACGGCTGTGCAGCGTGCATAATAATGAGACTTCTTGTTGCGAGACCTGACCAGTGTATATAACGAGCAATGAAGGTGCATGATGGTGCTTCGCGAGATGCGTGTCTACTAAGTCAATATTGAGTTTAGTTAACAGTCTATCGCGATCTAAGAAGTTACAAATAAATAAAAAGCTGTTAAAAGTACCGCAAAATAACGTCGAGGTCTATTTAGACGTATCGTTGTAATGGACAGCATCTCGCTTCAACCATTTTCTAAGTGAAATAACGGTACTCACCACTTGTCAAGGTTTTCCTCAGTGGCTGGAGATTGCTCAAGCTAGTTACGCTACTACTTTCCGCGCTAAGATCGACAGGTGGCGGTAGACTGGCAGGGGTGTCACTGTGGGATCGTTCATGCATCGGCACCCTACTGCCGGATCCTACTCTTCTAGGCGCGCCTGGACTAGGCTCCAAACCGCTCGAATGCAACGCCAGCCCCGGGACAGGTAACGGCGGTGGACAGTGCTTAGGTTGGTACGGTCGTGTCTTGTGAGGATCTGATAGAGCCAGCATCTTTCTCACCGCCTGTGGCGACGCGGCACCAAATTTTGTACCTGAAGGCATAATAATCGATGAAAATTACAAGATAAGATCTCGAAGAAAATTAATTATAGCACAATTAGGGGATAATATCAATTTTAAACATTTACCGACCTTGTATACTCTTTCTGCCTTCACTGGTACTACTGGCGCTACTGGTAGTCGACAAAGTAGGCGACGGGTGCCTTCTTCCTCGACTGCCACCCAGAGGTACCGCCGCGGCAACCGCGACCGCTCCTGCATGCGGCTCGCAGTCAACGGAAAGTTGATGCAGTCGTTCCTCATCCGTGATCACTTTCATGTTCGCAAGATAAGCCTTCACTCTTCGAACCATCTGCGCTTCCTCAAACATTTTCTTCGGATTCGGAGCAGCCGTGGATTTCTTTCGTCGTTTCACCGTTGCAGTTTGGCCGCCTATAAATCGTGACGTTGTAGATAAGAAAACTATACTTAAACTTTAGAAATCAGAAAATTATTTTTTCAGCTCAACTTTATCCGAGAACTTTATTTTGATATCTATTTAAATATTCTAAATCGAAAGTTAAGTCTTTAAAAAACCTAGCCGGTTTCTAAAACTGAAAACAACAATAAGAAATAGCATAAAAAAACTACCTTGATTGCCAGTAGTCATTTGATTCAACGCAACCATCGCAGAACTCGGTGGTTGACCGCCTCTCTCCAGCATCGTTAGTAAATCATAGGGTGAAGAACACATATTTGTTAGCGTTCTCACTTCCTTCGCGATCATCCTGAGTTTCTCGAAGTTTACCAAGCTTTCT